TGTTTACAGCATGTTTTCCTGAATATTTTAAGCCCCCTGTTGAGGCCTGCTGCTTAAAAAAAAAAAAAAAAAAAAGATTCCTTTCAAAATATTGACAATGCATCTGGTCACCCAAGAGCTCTGATGGAGATGTACAAGAAGAGTAATGTTGTTTTTATGCCTGCTAACACAACATCCATTCTGCACCCATGGATCAAAGGGTACCATTCTAGATGCCATTAAGAACATTTGAAATTCATGGGAGGATGTCAGAAGCTTGAAAGGAGTTGACTCCAACCCTCAGGAATGACTTTCAGGGGTTTAAGACTACAGTGGAGGAAGTAACTACAGATGTGGTGGAAATAGCAAGAGAACCATAATTAGAAGTGGAACCTGGGCTTGCTGGTTAGCTCAGTTGGCTAGAGCACAGTCTTACAACAACAAAGTCATAGGTTTGGATCCCTGTAATCGGCCAGCTGCCCTGAAGCCATGGAAGCTGTGACTGAACTGCCAGCATCTCATGATAAAACTTTAACCAATGAAGAATTGCTTCTTATAGATGAGTAAAGAAAGTGATTTATGGAGATGGAATCTACTCCTGGTGAAGATGCTGTTGTTGAAATGACAACAAAGGATTTAGAATATTATATGAACTTAGTTGATAAGTCAGTGGCAGGGATTGAGAAGATTGACTCCAATTTTGAAAGAAGTTCTACTGTGGTAAACTGCAATCAAACAACATTGCATGCTACAGAAAAATCTTTCTTGAAAGAGTCAACCAATGCAGCAAACATCATTGTTGTCTTAATTTAAGAAATGCCACAGCCACTCCAACCTTCAAGCAACCACCACTGCGATCAGTCAGCAGCCATCAACATCAAGGCAAGACCCTCCTCCACCAGCAAAAAGATTACAACTTGCTGCAGGCTCAGATGATCGTTAGCATATTTTAACCATAAAGTATATTTAAATTAAGGTATGTACATTGTTTTTTTTTTTAGACATTATGCTATTGCACACTTAATAGACTACAGAATTTATTTCTGTGCCGCCTAGCCAAGACCAGCTCTGGCTGGGGTTATCAGGATAGCTAGGGGGAATATCGAGGTTTGTCCTGTTTCAGTCCCTCCCTTCTCTTGATAATACCTCAATCCTTAGAGGAAAGGCCATAGTAAAAAAGTTTAGGTTAATAATGGATTCTACGTATTAAAAAGGAGGATTCACTTGCCAGAAACTGGGCAACTACAGTGAAGGGAAAAAAATGGTTGTATAGTTTATGCAGGGAGAAAAGGCTGATAAACTCAAATTCTATTGTGACATTCACCTGGAAATCTTGTGCAGTGCCTTGCTGTTTGATGTTTTGGAGGAAGTCAGCAAAACTAATTTTTCTTCTTGCTTGTGCATTACCAAATATCAGTTTTGGGGGATATTTGGCAGAAGTTGATGAGGCTGCAGAGTCTGAGCTATTTCCTCACATCAAGCTACTTTTATAACTAGAAGATTCAGCTTTTCTCACCCCCTAGTGACTCACAAGATTGTTCTTTCTAATTGATGGAAATATCCTGAACCTGAAACCAACAGGGAAGAAATAAGAACATTGATTTTTTTTTTTCAGTAGAGGTACTCAGACTTCATTGAACATATGGTTTAAACAGATGGCATATGAAATAAATCTCTGTGTACAGTGGAATCACAGATTTTGAAGAATTGTATAGCCCATCACCTACCAATGCGCACACTATGTTAAAGGTATATCAAATTAATTGAGTTTATAAATAGATACCACATTCTCTCACATCTTTTTACTTTTATATGTATAGTTTCTTCTGCCTGGAATGACTTTTCCTTTGATTTAGCTTTATGTTCTCCAGAACACTTCTGATCTTGGTCTCAATTTGAGCAATTCTGTCTCTGTGTCTTTAATGCCTTGTGCATGCTTTACATTACACAAATTATCACATACTAATTTGATAATCTCATTCCCCCAAAATATTGTTAATTGAAACAATAAAAGTCACTTTTTATTTTTTTGTCCCCATTTGTATAGTATAATGTCTACCCTAAGTAGGCATTCAGTAAATATTTGCTAAATAAATAGCCAGTCCTCTCTTCCACCATCCTGACAGTGGAAACTAACATTCTCCTGAGTTGTAAGCTATTAGTTGAAATAAACAGAAACATGGGAAATTATTGATCAGAATCTTTCTTAATACGTTTTTTTCTTAGAGCTCCTGTTGATACATATACTCAGTAGATGAGTGAGATCATGAAAGCCTTTTGAAGTTTTTGGAGTACATGTACGAAATAAAGGTAGGATGTACTAAAGCACTTTATGCCTTTTATTCTGCTATTTTAAACACATCTTATTTTTAAAAAATCACTGTTATTCAGTTATCAGCTGAAATACTTTATTTCTTAAAGTTATTTTTAAAACTGATTCAATTATTTTTATATTGTAAATTAGGAATTCTAGCCTTAGTTTTAAAACTTATTTTTCCTGAGTATATTTCCTCTTAGATATACAAAGGAATATATTTTCATAGTGTGTGTTGAAAATTAGGAAAATCAAGGGTTCTGTTTCTGTCAGGTGCAGTATTTAGAGTGTTATTTTGATAAAGTCCAGTTGCTCTGATATGGCTTGAAAATACTTGCTCCTTTGGAGTATAATTGCAGGGAAAAAACTGCGGCATAGGTAAAAATTCACCATAATGACTTGAATTGGTTTTATACATAATCATCTGAGGTTTTGATAGTGAGGTAGCTGTATGGAGTGTCTTTGGGTCCAACATACATGAAAACACAGGATTGCCAGGGTTCACACAAGGAGGCAGTTGTTCAGGTTTCATTTCTGTGTCTGGATTTGAAGTTGAAGTACTTTTCTTATCCTAAAAAAATAAACACATAAAATCATTCTCAATTACAAAGTTGTGAGAAAAAAAAATTAAACTTAGCACTGTTCACTCCCCTTTTTTGAGAATCCTGTTCTCTTGAGGGTGTTGAAGACTACCATTAAATCATGTATACCTGCACAGAGCACACTTGTCAAAAGCATGC